GCCACCGGCGGCGCCGAGCAGCTCGTTTTGGCGTCCGCTCAGCTGGCGCGGTGGCCACCCGGCGCTGGCCCGGCCCGGCCCGGCGAGACGCGGGCTGCGATCAATATAGGAGGCCGGCGCGGCTGTGGGCCGGTGCGCGCAGCGGCCGCCCCTCAGCCGCTCGGCGCACGTGCTTGAGCCGCCGCCGCCGCGCCGGCCGCGCGCCGGCCCAGTCGCCGGCCAGGCCCCAGTGAGCCGGGGTGTCGCTCCGTCCGCGGCGGGCACCGAGCTGCGCCGCACCGGGGCCAGGTCTGAGCCAGCTCCGTCCGCGCCGAGAGCAGGTCTGTGGCCAGTTCCGTCCGCCGTGTCCCGCCGGCTAACCGCCATGAGCTCGCCGGGCACCGACCACCACCGGCGCGAGTCGAAAAAGAAGGACAAGGAGAAGATGCCGCGCACACTGAGCACGAGCATTCTGAGGATCAAACACCGCAGTCCGTTCTGGGAGAAGTTCTGGTCGGGCCGCGGATCCAGCCCAGCGCGCAACGACAGCGCTAGAGAGTGAGTACGGGTCGCTGGCGGGCCCCGCCCCCCGGCTGCGCTGCAGGCAGTGTTCTGTGAGGGTTTTTTTGCAGACGTCGTGGCGAGACACCGTCGTCATTTGGATTCAAGGTCGTGTTTTGTATCCCTACCGTAGCCTGGCTGGCTCAAAGCGGGTAGGGTAGGTCTCAGAGAAGGACTGTTCTGAATCGACTTGAAAGAGAGGGCTTCTTATGCCATTCGTCCTATACGATTTGTTGTTCAGAACTATGGTGCTCGCCTGAGCTCCACGGGACCGCTACTGCACGTGGACTGCCGTTTGGTGCAGTGTGTCGGCTGCCTCTGAGGCCCTATCTCGGTCCTTCGGGGCTCTGATTACTCACTGTGGACCTTGCGCAGTGCACACTGACTGATTAACTTCAGCGTGGCCGGTGCCTGCGGTAGCGATTGTTTACAAAGCCGATAGCCTGCAGCGGCGCATTGTTTTCCCTGCGGTAGTCGTGATCGGCCACTCACGGTATGTTCCGCTCCTATCTGCCCTGGAAGTTTGTACCTATCTGCGCTGAAAGGCAAATAAAACCTCGACGTAAATGAATGGTTTCAGTGGCATGCCAGCTCCAAAATGTAGGCGGCTATGGTCGTCACTGGGGCGTGCATGTTCTGTCAATCTGAGACACCAATTCGCAGCGAGCTATCAGTTTGCATGCTGAGCCTTGCGGCTTGCACACTGCTCAGTGCACAGAGTACACTCACTTCCCGCGGATTCCTTCACACTATGTGTTAGTAGCTGTGTTTATCACTGGCTACCAAAACGAGCGTTTTTGTCATCCAAAGCAGCATTCCGCACAATATCGGCAGCCAGTTGCAGTACGCTTTTCTTTTGACTCATTCACATCGACGCACAGCCTCAGCATTTGTGGGACTGTTCCCGAAACTATCACCACCGCCGCGTCGCGTCGGCGTGAGGGTGTCGCCGCGCCCCGTTTCCGGCCCTGCCACCGCGGTAGGTATGGATCGGTCTGGTGAGCCTACCGACCCCGGCGAATGACCCACGCCGACCCCGCCGGCCCGGCCCGATGGTCTGTCCCCGTTGCGGGTGTGAGATTGTTTACGAGCTGACCCTAAGGTCACTGGGGACACCTGATGGACCTCCAACGGCCACCCCGCCACCGCCCAACGCTACTGACCAACGCCCCAGGGTCCACAGCTACTGACCCAACCACACGGCTGTGACTTCAACCCACTGGGAGTTAATACAGCCATTGGCTACCGCCCACCGCCCACCGCCCAATGTCCACCGCTCACCTCTACCTAAGCAAATATGCAAAAACTTGTCCACCTCTAAGGTCCACTGCTATCGCCAATTATCGCCCATTGATATCGTCATCACCACATTCACCGATTAGTGCCACACCCACCGCTACCGGCACCGTCTTCTCCAAAACTGCCGCCCCTGACACGAGACGTAAGCAGCTGCTGCACCACCTCCCTCTCCAGCTCCAACTCCAACCTGAACTCCGACTCCAACTCCAACGTCACAGCCATCACCCACCCATCCCACAACCAATCAGTCGTTAAACCGCCCTCTATCACCCCTTCTGCACCGTCTCCGTCACAACAATCACAACTGTCGCCGTCACAGTTCAACATTTACTCGTACAGTCACATTTACACTCAGTCCCATTCACAGCCAACTATCGTAGCCACCACACAACTATCGTGACAGTGACGCGGTCACCACACATTCACAGATATAGAGCATCCTTTTCATGAAATGTTTCGACTGACTTGGGCGAAAAGAAATGTCGCCTGTATTGCTCATGGGGAAGTAATCGCCAACGGTCATTACCTTATACGAGAATAGTCAGAATCACTAATGAGGATTGGTGGGTACGCCTGTAGCGTATAGGCAGGCACAGTTGGATTAATTTTGAGTTTCATAATTGCTATGGCTGAAATTCGTCTCGTCTGGATTCTCATATCGGGCCTAGTTGATAGTTCGTATGCCATAGTTAATTTTACTTTTCATTTATTTATTGGGCTAAGAAGACACATCTAAAATCTGAATATGACGGGTATACCTAAATTGTTATGCAAAAAAAAAACAGCAATTACAAAAACTCATCGCGAAAAAGGCGATTGGCATGCTGTCATAACTCCGCTTGTTCAACGTCCCGTTTTATCACCATCTCATAAAGTAACTCAGTGGTTGTTCGGTGTGTCGCTCAGGTAATTGACTCGACATTACCAGGCGCCAACTCTATCCATCACGTCCTGTACGACTGATCCCCACGTCGCGCCAATGCTCGGCCCGAGCCGCTACTACACTAATTACATTTGGTCATTACGCGCTCCGATCGACCCGGCGCAGTGTTGTGACCGAGTACCACGGGGAGGGGGGGGGGGGGGTACAGCGGGAGACCACCCGGCTCTACCAGCTGATCGCGTGCATGTTTATGTGGTGGTGGGGGGAATGGGGGAAGGGGGTAAGACACCAGCGGTGCCGAGGGAGGATGTTTGAGGCTCTCAGCAGCGATGTGGTTGTGGCACGAATGCAACCTGATTGATGATGTATTACTTCGCTGCGTTACTTTGCGCAGTGCTTGGTTATTTGTAGAAACGTGATGAGATGTTCAGCTATCTGTTGAGATGACGTTTCAGGCACTGATGATGAAAGCACTTGTGTCTGTCGCCCAACGGATGCATTAGTCTAAATAAGTAGTCGAATACTTTCCTTCTGTCTTGTGTTATTTAGTTCGCGTATTCTGCCTCTCGCTTTCGCGTATTAAGGCTTGACTGCGTAGGGACTGCCGACCAAAGTTGGCATGAAGTGCGTCTACCTCAAATTACTTCGAGGAATATTTATGTTTATGTTTTTCATAAATATGCTGGTTTTCTTCAGGCTCCATATTATGAATCATTGCCCCTGAAAAGGGCTTTTATTTGAAACGATCTTACCTTGCCTCGGTTTTTAAATTACGTTTTTTTCAGCTCATGATCATTTCGCTGTTTTCTTCGAAAACGTTGCCGAGTGGGAGTAAGTTACGATGCTGGCTTTGGAGGCCACCTGTGTGTGTTGGCTGGGGGAGCGCCGTAAACGTGTTCCGGTTACAACACTGCACGACAGGGAGGCTCGGTTACGACGCATGGTCAGAGGCGCGTGGAACAAGTATCCGTTCAATGTTGATGTGCCCTTTGGCAACGTGAAATCAACCTTTCATCAACGGAAAATTTCAGAGATTTGTTGGTTGATGGCTCCTGGAACTTGGAAGGCATTTTTAATGCGGGTTTCCACTTTCCATGTAGGTACGCCATTAAATTTTAATGTCTTTTATACCTGAATGCCAATTGTCTGGCATTTATGACGGTTAGGCAAAGCGCATTTTTATGTCACTAGTTAACAGGAAAGATAGTTACGTGGGTCGAATTATTAAATTGCAGAAGTTAATGCAGATTGCAGATAAAAATATGTTAATTTTAGCTCAGCAAATGGTAATCAGTGTTTCCATTCCAAATTTCTTGCAATTTGTATTTGTTATTGATCTGCTCCGTCTCAATTTATCATACGTGCAAAAGGTGAAGTTTAATGAAACTGCAATGAAACACCCGCCTTTAATCACTTATTATGAAGACGGGAATAGACGCTGACTTGTGGACTTAAATCTCAATGCGCTCGTATAGATGCAGGCTACATAATACATGTTCTATTTCTAACCATCGAAACATAACTACCATTTCGCAATATCATTTCCGAGCGCAATGAAAAGTAACCCAGCTGTGGCGCCCACTGGTGCCCCACAGCCCCACCAGCCACACCTCGCCGTTCACTAAAGCGCGCCGACCTGGCGTCTCCGTAACGTGACATGGAGAGCGCACTGTCCCTCACCTGAGGGTACGATTCGAGCGAATCCCCGGCCGTTGCTGCTCCGCCGGCATTGAATGGAGTTGACACTGTTCGCTGCTGCGCGCCATTGCGTCAGCTGCCACACAAGTGGCGACGAGTGAGACCTACACAACGGTGCCTTGTCTCAGGGGCATGTGACGACGCGGTGGCGTCCGTTTGTCGCTGCAGGGAGTGAGCTACGTATCCTCTCCCTGTCTAACTGTGACGTAGAGAGGAGGAAGGGGGTTGCGGTGGTCCTCAGGTTTATGTGTTTTTGTGTTTCTCCGTGTCCTTTTGCGTTTGCGGAGTGTCTACCCGCGATGACGTTTGTACGAATGACGTAATGACTTGCACCATCCATCTCAACACTCCAGATACAGACCTTTGCTAGATACAGACCTTAACCAAGGGCTAATCAATAATTGTTTGACGAAGAAGGTGGATGTATGGTTGTGCTGTGTTTTGTCGCCCAATGTCCACAGCGGTCCCCAAATTACGATTATATTCCGTTTGTTGACGTTGAGCATATGCGATGGATGATGCATGACCCCGCTCCGGCTTTTGCTCGCCGATGCTCACTCGTTGTGTTCTGTTTTTGCAGGCACGGAGAAGATCTGATCGTCACACCATTCGCCCAGATCCTGGCCAGTTTACGAAGTGTACGGAATAATTATATCTCGCTCACCAACGTACCCACCAACAAGTAAGTCAGTCACCTGCCTGATGCTCTTTCTGTGTTCTCCGTTATTATCAGACTAGAGTTACCTCGTATGACGACGCGATAGGCTTATTTCTGGCGTTTTGAAATGATTCGACGTCAGGTATTCAGAGTTTCATTTATTTTTCAGCGGCTATTCCTCTTGAAAATGGCCTTGGCATTCGTGGTCACTCACTGCATGCCCGTAAATTGTCTTGAGTCGCAAAACAGAACGATCGGAGCCCTGAGGCTATAAATAAAGTCAAGAAGGCAATCAAAGCATCGAATCTGTCGATATAGTTATTGTAACAAAAACTACCGATAGCCATATGCAAGTCAATATTTTATTGCGTACGCTTTTGGAATCTATTCATGATGATCTGCAAAATCTTGATCATTTTCATGAAACATTTTGAATTCAAATGTATTTCGTTTATACAGATTATCCGTTGCAGATAAACAGTAAACCCACTGTCATCAGTTTTTTATCTACGTCATAATTTCGATGCTTTGACTCCAAATGAACGTTAGTATAGGGTATATTGTATTTGTTTGTTTGCATCATTGCTTATGGCTCCTCCACAAATCAAGTTCACGAAGCGTCATCGCTACTAGGAAGCCGTTCGTCATCTGGCGAACGCCTATCTCTGTATCGTTCTACGACTATACATTCAGAATAACAGGGAGCAGCGTGGCGTCCCGACCTTTCCTTCTAATGCTATCGGTACTTCTCGGTCACGATTCACAACAATCTCTATCGCTTTACGGTCGATAGGAGCTCACATTCAATGGAGCTGCTGTGTTTACTGTTTATCTTGGCTGGCTTCCGAGTGAAGTGAATTGTATTTTAGTGAAACGATGTTATGACAAACAGTAGATGCAATGTATTTTATGAGCAAGTAATATTTTCGAGTATCTCGCCGATCATTGCTCATTGATATCGATCTTTTATCAGGTTATCTGGTAGATCATTTTCTATTACATTACATGATTCTTAAGATTGGTCAAACTTCTATTCTTATAGTCGATCAGAGATCAATATACCCCTATTTGCAGCCTACTCGTGTGTGACGCAAATTTGCCGATACATCCCTCCCAGATAAGAAAATCACAATTCTAAAGAATAGTGATTGTCTAATTGAAAAGTCCCAACCTTCGGATATGTTCCTTAACGCATCCGTTTTACCGCAGGGTGTCCAGAAAAAAAAAGATACTACGGAAATTAAGTCGCATTCATTAACGCACGTGCCGATTTTGTTCCAACTTCATGTGCTTATAGTGCAAGATTTGGCAAAACTCATGAGCACTGTAATGCGTCGTTGGAAAGTTGTCTGCTTGCCCTCCGAGATGGTCAACATGACCATCAGTCACCTGCAGACTGTGCTAGTGCTGGAGCTGATCCGCCGTAAGGCCGCTCACATTGAGTATCTGCTTTGAGGAGCTGCCGCAACTAACCAAGGATTTTACATGCCATGTGGCACCTGCTGTCTGTTTTGCCATATTTTGGCGAATACAAGCATGTGCCATTTTAAAATGTAAGGTGTTTATTTTCGGAATTACAGCAAAAAATAATAGTATCCGTTTTTTCTGGACACCCTGTACAATCTGTGTCTGTGCATCTGTGTCTCCCTCCCCCACCGACCACTCTCTGAATGTCTGTGTGTCTCGTTTTCTCCGTACTGACGGCTGTCCGTGTGTCTGTCTGTGTCCGGCAGGTCGCGTCGCTCATCGTCGACGGTGGCAGGTAACGCCACCCCGCAGCCCAAGCACGTCCAGCCCGGAGGTGAGCGGCGCATCCCGCACGCTCTATCTCCCCCAATCTCTCCCCTCGCTCCGTGCAACTCTCGTCCTCTTTCTGTGGTATAGCCGAGGCACAGAGCCGGTGGCTTACTGACCACGTCGCCTCAAAACCCGCTTCTACATAGCTGTTTAATTGAATGGCTTTATTTGTGCACGGAGAAAATTGTTTTGCTTTAAATTGCTGCTGCTAAAAGGCTGGAAAAGTTGCTTTAAGTTTGCTGTTGCTAAAAGGCTTATGAGTGAACGGAGCTCAGAACGCATTGCATGCATCTGCTCTGCAATGTCCGGAGTAAAATCACATAAGTTGCTCTCTGCTGACTGCACAAGCATGCATCTTCCTGCCAACAAACTGAGATAATTGTCGCTTTACTCCGCTCGCTGAAATCCGAGCGCCCTGTTTATTTTCGCATTACGACGCTTGGGGCCAGTCACTCGTCATTCCCTGCTGTTTAACGTTCAGCAAACATTCTAGAGCGTCGTTATCTGCCAGCATGAAACTTCTGCGTTGCGCAGTACAGTTCCGGCGCATGTATACGTGAATGTTGTTGTCTGTAGCCGCTATGCATATTATTAACTCGCTTTGCTTTTCATAAAGCGAGAGGCCAGCGAAATGCACCGACATATGACACCGGCAGACAACACAACTTCGGGGTAAACAAGCACGAACGTCATTATTTGTTTCGCTTTGTAGTTTGTAAGTTTGTTTCGCTGTTTGAACGCTTTTAGCTTTTTAATGGATTATGTTCACGGACGGTAAATGTTACTCCCCTGTTTATTTCTGTTATGACATGTGGGGTGTTTATTGCTTCTGTTCATCAATCATTGCAAAAGTGAGATAGCTGCAAGTTCGTCTCGAAATCGGCACCAAGTGTAGTGCAACGTGCCTTTGCTGAAGGCATTATGTTTGTAAAAGTATCTTGACCATTCGCTGGCCTAAGATGAAGTTAGTCTTCCTGTGTTTCTTAACTCACTATGATCGCCTATTGTTTCCAAATTTTCTGCTCAATTACCTGCCGCAAAGTGGACCCCGTCCAGTTTCGCTTCGACACATCACCCCAGCCTCACCCCAGCCTCACCCCAGCCTCGTCTCTGCCTCTCTCCGCCTCTCTCCTATACTCCTCGCCTATCCCCTCCTCTCTCTCTCTCTCTCTCTCTCTCTCTCTCTCTCTCTCTCTCTCTCTCTCTCTCTCTCTCTCTCTCTCTCTCTCTCTCTCTCTCTCTCTCTCTCTCTCTTCTCTTTCTCTTTCTCTTTCTCTTTCTCTTTCTCTTTCTCTTTCTCTTTCTCTTTCTCTTTCTCTTTCTCTTTCTCTTTCTCTTTCTCTTTCTCTTTCTCTTTCTCTTTCTCTTTCTCTTTCTCTTTCTCTTTCTCTTTCTCTTTCTCTTTCTCTTTCTCTTTCTCTTTCTCTTTCTCTTTCTCTTTCTCTTTCTCTTTCTCTTTCTCTCTCTCTCTCTCTCTCTCTCTCTCTCTCTCTCTCTCTCTCTCTCTCTCTCTCTCTCTCTCTCTCTCTCTCTCTCTCTCTCTCTCTCTCTCTCTCTCTCTCTCCCTCACCCCCTCTCTCTGCCTCTCCTCGCCTCGCCTCGTCTCGGCCTCTCCCGATCTCTTCACCTCTCCTTACCTGTCCCCTCCCTCTCCCCACCCCGTTCCCTCCCATCGGGGGCTCTCCTGAAGCCCCAGTGTGACGTGCGTGACGCTGTTGTGACTGCCCACATCGCCCCAGGGAAGCCGGGTAACGCCGCGTCACGGCCAGCCTACGCCGCCGCGCGCCGCGCGTCCGGGCGTCCCCGATCCCGGCCCGATCCGCCAGCGCACCGCATCGACCCACAGTAGGCGACATCGATCGCAGACGAGTTTGCTGCGAACTGCGTTACCCTCGGATTCTAGATTGTTCGGCTGCTGGGTCATGAGAATGTGCGATAGCCGATAGGTATCACTGAATACTAGCGATCAGCTTTCGTACCTTTAGTTAAAGGCCTTACATTCTGCACAGATAACAAACCCCATTACATAGACGTCTTTTCTGAAATTCAAAGTACTTTGAATTCTTAGTAGCCCCACCACATCAGCCTTGCGTATACCTATCAGTCTGCAATCTCAGCAATATGTGTGCATAGCTTTGCCATCTTACGTTCCGACTGCGCAGCCTTTGCTGGATTGATCTGATTGATATTGATCTCATTCTATCAATCACTGCGGGATAACGTAATGTTTGCCAGTAGCAGCAGAGGGACAATCTTCTCTGAGTCTCCTAGCCACATTTTTCCTAGCGCTGTTCCTCTTGTCTCCTCCACAAAGCCTACCCCAGAGGCATCTCTCCAAGAGCAGTCCTTCATCCAGTCTCCACAAAGCTCCAGCCTCCGTCCGCCCTCCCAGCCACATTCCTTCTCGTCATCACGGCGGCGTGTGGCCGTCAATGAGCCGGCGGCGGTGTCGTATGTACCATTAGGGTGTGCGCCGCGCGGCGGCCAAAGGTCACTGGCAGCGCCGCCCGACGGCGTCCGTTTCAGATGAGGCCTTCGTCAAGCTGTCGATCGACACGTTGGAGGAGCTGGACTGGTGTCTGGACCAGCTGGAGACGATCCAGACGCACCGCAGCGTCTCCGACATGGCCACCAGCAAGGTGAGCGTGCCGCTGATAGTGATGAGACGGTCGTTGGCTCTGTCATCAACCTCAGACGTGTTTGGAAAGTCAAAGATTTGCTGTGATGCTGGAATTGTTCTAGCGAGTGTCTGATGCCGTTAGCTGATGCAGCCTATGTAGTCTCTTTCCTCCTTTCGTCTCGTCTCTGTCCCGTATCGGTCTATGTCTCGTTGTCTCTGTCTCGTTTTCCCTGTCTCAGTCTCTGTCGATGGCAGTATCGGTCTCCATTCCTTTTTATATCCCAGTCCTTTTGTCTTAGGCTCAATCTTTCCTACACGGCACGGCGAGACCACAACGAAACGCTACCATATAACTATTCATCTGTAAATTGAAAACACTTTTTTGTTAGATATTCTATTGCCGTATACCTAGTTAGCCGGTTATCCGAAAGGATTGCTTGCACACATCATTTACAAAATTTTCGTCCTGGCACCCTAGCACATCCATTTTTTTGTTCAGCGCCGTTCAGTTCGTTATTCACTCACACAGGGATCTGTTGTTTAATGAAGAGCAGTCTCATTTGACCACGCTCTCGGCCTGCGGCGCCCGGTCTCGCCCACAAGCCGGGAATCTGGGTTACTTGGCGGCTGATAGGCCGTACCGGCGGAGCTGGACGAACCCCAACTACCCGAGCAGGCGGCTGAACGGCGCGTAAAAACTGATGAGCTCCCGCTCTCTCCTTCTCCCCGGCTACCAGAGTGCTATCAGACGGCGTCTGCCGAGTTCATAGACCATAAGTGACGTAGGTAGAGTTCCCGTGCCGCGTAGAATCAGAGAACGCTACTCAGGTCTGCAGCTGCCCTGTCGCGGCTTCACGTTAAGTAGCGATCCAAACGGTGACGCTGAAGCGGCTTACCCGCTCCACAGGTGTGCTACTGAGCTATCAGAACACACTGAAATATATGTGCGTGTGCCGGCCACAAAATCGGATCTGCTGCGGTTCGGTGCTGCGCCTTCTCCGTCGTCACTTCTTTTACCGTCGTCCTTGCCGTCGGCCTGCGCCTCCTCTGGGACTGTCGGCGCCACCGCCGCCGTTCTGCGCACTCCCGGGTGTCCGCTTCTCTGAGTAGCACGTCACAATTCTCCTTAAATCAGACATGATAGACCTAATTGACGTAGCGTGGCGCTACAAGAATCACTGTGTCACACGGACATAAGTGCCCTTACGCTCCAGTAAAAACTGCCCAGGGACACTGCGCCATTCGCCGTGCATTGTACCGATACGGCGCTACGTCCGTGCGGCCATTGACGTCACAAATGGCCAGCGGGTACCGAGCGCTCCGACCGCGACCGGGCGGCTCAAAATCAATGTGCTGCTCTCTGCTCTGTGATATTGCGAATGGCGATTCGGCATCGCCCAGGCAACGGGAAAGTCCGAAGACATTACTGGAGTCTGTAATCGCCGAGCTAGAGTTCTTAGCATCGGTCAGCAGCGGTCGGCAGCGGTCAGCATCGGTCAGCAGCGGCGAGCCGAGCCGGGGGGGGGGGAGGGGGGGGGGGCGAGGGCGACGTCGATCGCCACGCGCCGTGCTGGGAACAATGCCGACACGCGCGCTGCACACCAGCCGTATAGCACGGCCGGCAGGCGGGCGAAATGGCCCGGGCGGCGGCGGGGGTGAGGGTGAGCGACCTCGACTGCTCGGCTGCTGCGACCCGACGGCGGGCTTTGTTAAACGGGCTGCGATCACGTGTCACGGCGGGTGGCGATTTGAAGCGGCCGGCGCCGCGTGGCGGCCGCAGTCGCTGCCGAGTGTTCGGTCTGAGAGGCTGCTGCTGATCGCTGCTCCGCTCAGCCACTCGAACTGTCGTGAGTCGGCTGATAGTGAGTGCGGTCGGAGGCAGACCGGGTCGAAGAGTGCGTGCGTGTGACGTCTGCGACCGTAGGGCTATTTTCGTCTCTGACGCCGGGGTGTGGCTCCTAGCGCGAGGGATGGGACGGCCTCAGCCCGTCACTTGGTGTCAGCACCGTGTCAAGAAGGTCAGTCTGATTAAGATAGTGTGTAATCTACTGAACAGCCGCTGTTGATTAAAACATTATGTTCCCCTCCTATCCCGAATTGTCTTGCCTTCCTCGTCCAGTCGCAGTTCCATAGAGAACGAACAACGCAGAACTGCCCACCCTAGGGACATCTCTCTATCAGAATCTCCGCAGAATTTCTCCCCACCAGCGGACCATCCTCTTCTGCTCTCCTCTAGATCTCCCACGCTCTTGCTGGATTGCGCAGAGCGCCGACGCGGGCTTTTTCCCTCCAGCCGTGACCCAGTTTCTTATGATGTAATGATTTTCGGGCGTGCTGACGTCACAAGTGCGTCAGAGCGCCGGGGAACACTGGCCGTCGATTGGCCCCCGGGTGGGGCGTGTCCGTCGGAGTCGACGGCGCCGGGCCTGGACCGCCGCCGGCCAGGCCGAGTCGAGGTCGCCGTCGAGGTCAGTGCGGGATGAGACTCGGCTGGAACAGTGGGAGAAAGATTCGTGAGGAAAATGATTAGCTGGGGGTCTTGAGAATTGAGATCTTAGTCTGACTGATTTGGATCTGCAATTGTGTAGTTTAAATTTAGCATGTTATTCTCAGAAAATAACAAATAATGATCCCCTATCTAGATGATCCATTTGCATCCTACCCGCTTATGAGAGAGAAGGCAGTTAGCGATAGAGCCATTGTTGTTGCCATCGCGCTGCATGGTGTCAAGTTCTGTATATCAGCCTCACTCTCCTCCCGTCTCCGGTGTTTGGACCGGATCCAAAGTCATGAATGCAGTGGTTCTGATGATGAGACCATCCGGTGGTTCTCCTGACCATCATTATGTCGGGTCGAAAGCCAAGAGCTGGCACCGATGGATAGGGCTGGGCTCTGAGCTGTGACGAGTTGCACTTTAGCTGTTCTTGAGCTTACGGCGAAGCAAAGCGTGGTGCTCCAGGATATGACGGATCAAACAACCACGCATTTAATGCGTTTAGATCAGTTCCATCAGTGTTGTGACTTAATTCTGCGACACAACAAAATTATGTGCAGGAAAGGTGCCGAAAAATTTGCGTTACCTGCCAAATAGGCCACAATGGAGAAAAACACCAAATTCAAGATCGTACTTATTCCCCTGTATATACGTGTAGGACACTACTTCAGCTGTCATGTGTTGTGTTTAGTGACTGGGAAGTGGGAGTGTCTCGGGGTTAGGAATCCCAGATGACAAACGGAGACTCGTGCCAACACGAGAAGCTGCCAGCACCTCGCGACTCGCGACCTGGGAGCCAGGGTGACACTGTTTGGTTGGCATGGTGATTGTCGAGCGCAAATCGTGTATAGCATACTGTGGAGGTTAATTAATTTATGATTATACGATTCGATGAGCAGAAATAAACAGCATGTGTTTGATAAACAAGTGACAATATTATATATTAACACATGGTTTCCCGTGTGTAAATGGTTTTAACGCACGACGTGGATGGATTGGAGCACGAGTGTGTTAATGCACGAGTGAAACGAGTGCATTAACGCACAAGTGCTCCATTCCATCCACGAGTGCGTTAAAACCATTTATGCACGGAAACCATGTGTTAAACTAATTAATACATGCTTAACGGTGCGAATTTAAATGAAAATTAAACCTAGTCCATGCCACTAAAAAGGGCCCTTTATGGGAAATCTTAGAATAAAGTCAATGACCCTTCCGAGAAACTTCAGTCGAGAAAGTCATCACTGCACGCGCGTGCACCAATTTAAATTGGTGCACGGCTACCTTCGAATTAACGCACGGTTAATCTCCAGTGAACGCATCGTAAAGTATGTATTAATTGTAATTTGTAACTTTCTGATTTGGGAATGTAACTGCCATTAGAGTCGCTGAACCCATGTCCACTGTTCATACATACCTGTTGTTCATCATGTTGGTAGGTGTTTTTTTTTAGGATGAAACTTAACATTTCCATCTCTGTTTTGTACCACAGTGGGTCTAAAAAGGTCCGTCCGTAATATTCAAGTCGTACCTATCTGAATCTTTTGATACAGCAAAAGTCAAAAAGCTATTCCCGGGCCTCGACCTCGTACCCTCGATGCGCTAGGTGCTATGCGGGACAGCCTATTTGCAGGCGCTTTTACTAACGCCATCTATGAACAAATATAACAACTAGCATCTGACTACGGTCAGCCCACTACACCTCATGGATAATAACGGTGCGGAACAACAGCAACAGCCCTGGCAACCGTCAGGTCGGGCCTCGTCTCACCTGCCTCCTCACTGATCTGTGTTTTCATTTCTCGGAAGCGGTCGTCATTACGTTTCCGTCTCGCCTGCCGCGTTTCCCGGTAACTGTTCTTCCTCTCCTCCGCTGGCGACAGAGGGCCGCCTGGACCGAGCTGCCTTCCACCCTGGACCTCTGCCAGCTCTGTCTGCCCCTGTCTGGTGCCGTGGAACCGTCCCTTGTGGCCAGTTTGTCTATCCGTTCGGTGAAGAGTCTTCTGGTCGACCTCAGACGTCCCCGGCTGTTTGGTGCTGCGAACCGTGCTAAAGCGTCGTATAAAGAGAAGTCTGTTGTGTTTCGTCGAATCGGTGTAGGTGTGATCTGTGGAAAAGTGCGATGTGGAACAGGCTGTCAGCTGAGTGGAGCTGAGTGTTTCCGTGGAACTGTTACCAGGTAAATGACGCACACTTGTGTCATATTTGTCGCTGTGTATTGTGTTGTTGTAAGCGGACTGCTGGTTTGAAGTCGGATTCCTTTAAAGTGAACATTAAGTGAAGGTCAAGTGAGGTCCGCGCCGTGCGCTGTTATCTGATGTGATTCTTTCCGTCCGTTTCAGTTCAAGAGGATGCTGAACAAGGAACTCAGCCATTTCTCCGAGTCGAGCAAATCCGGAAATCAAATCTCTGAGTACATCTGCTCCACTTTTCTTGGTAATGGTCCTTACTGGATCTCATTGACTTGATTTTAGGTAGAAGATATAATAAAAATTAAACTTACATGAGTTGTAAAAGTTCAACGAATGCACCGCGGAATTAGAAGTGTAACAAAAAATGCAGCGCTTGACGCATACCCATTAGGCATTACACATTCGAAATAGCTGAGAAGTAACGCCATTCGGGTCCGCAGATCTCATCAACAGATATCATCATTTTGTGCTGGAGCACTAGAAGGTTCTGGCAAACAACAAACACTCTTTGAAAATTTTCGGCGCTACGCGATGGGTGGTTCTGGTAAAGAGCTGACATATATAATTTAGTTCGAACTGGTGTCTGATGGGTTATGGCCTTATGGTTTTGACTCGCCGAGCGGCAATGGGTTAAAATGTGATTTAATGGATACGTTATCACAAGATTGGTATTAAATGCTCACATTGCCATCAACAAAGATGTAAAACGTCCTTAAATTGGATATAAATTAGCCGCACAAGACCATTCAATACCTAAACCAATGCCTGAACAACATCTTCCATGTTGAAATTTTTCTTTATAAGCTTTTAAGTTCTATTGCAGATACTACATCTGCCAAGATACCTTCGAAATTAAAATAAACGAAGAATGCAAACTATCTGAATAGATATTTCAGTAATCATGCTCTTCAAACTATGCCCAAAGTTTATACGATCCTTGGAGTCGCATGCCGTCTCTAAACGGTTTATCTAACTTCTGTAAGCTCATCCCATTTGCATAGTAATCAGTCAATAGTAATTGCACTCAGCCGGCCGGGACATTGAGTCTATCTGCCATACTCTCCAGACACCAGTTCAGACTAAAGGTCATGCATTGCAATCAACAGCTGCTTCAACGCTGTGTGCATTGTGCAACGAACACTGATCGTGAGTGTCGGCTCAATGCCCAAAGCCTGGATGTGTTTCCGACTGACCTGTAAAATGAAGTTTATGTCTGTTTGATGCCCGAGCGCAGCAATCAGCACAATATCGTTTATGCTGTCAGGTTGTGCTACCTCAGTGCAAAATATGGAAAGTTTTACTCTAGAAGCTAGTCGCCAGTGAACCAGGAAGGGCACTTCCAGTCGCAGTACGGCCGGTCCCATGAGTCCGCCTCCTTCCGCCGTCGGCCGCCGATAGCGCCGCCTCGGCTCTCCGTGCGTCTCTTGGGCACCAGTGTCGGAGCAGCCCCCCCCCCCCCAGTCCCCCCTCCCGGCGGACCGAGCCTCCGGGACCGGCAGTGGCGGCGGGATCAATAGGAGGCCGGCGTAGTCCTGGGGCAGGTCGCGGCGCCGCCCCTCCTCACCGCCCCTCCCCTCCCGCGGCTCCGTCCTCCTCCTCGACCCGCCCCCCTCGCCTACCCACATCCCCGCCCTGCACTGACCTGACTGACCTGTCCTGGCCCTGCTCTGCCTTTTCTCTGCGTCATCTACTATAGTTTCTGGCTACATCATCCCTGCTCTTCCTTTGGACAAAGTCCATCCAGATGCAGGGACTTCCGTATCGGTCCAGTCATACCATGGTCACTTGCCATGCTTTTCGTCACCTATATTCCCTCCATACTTTTCCTGAGAGCTCTGTTTTCGGTCTTCCCGTTCCGTCATACTTTACTGCACTAAATCGTGCACGTGGACTCTCGGTGGTGAAATCTGAGCCCGCATACCTCCCCGCGGATAGATTCCTGGGCGTGCACAGTAGCCGTTACGACGTGTCGGGAATATCCATAACATGACACCCTCCACGGGCCGCAGCGCTGGAACGGGGTGGGTGTGCCCGATCTCAGGTGACCGGCTTCTGGCAACAATGACCAACAGTCCAGTGCAGGTGCACAATGGCTCACTGCACAATCACATGTTTCGGTATTCGTTTTAGGTAGGTACCAGATTCCCGTACTTTGATGTAATCGGAGGTTCCCTCTAAATTGTGCCTTTTCATGATTTTTGCATTGAATTGAGCCTTGCCTGTTTTAGCGTATTGTAGCCTAAATATTTTCTTTTTTAGAGTTTCAAGAGAGACGTGAGATCTGCACATCATAAGATTTGCCGCATTAGGAGATAGTTATTGGAGTGCGATACTGCAAAGAAACACAAATACTGGCTAAAATGTGCATTTAAGGTCACCCGGCCGGTAATTTGATTGGCTCATTGACCTAGGTGCATTCGACTAATCGAGCACCTACCACCACTCTTTCACCCCGGCTCGCGGTCACGTCGCTTCCTGCCCGCTCTCCACGGGGCACGTGCAGCCCGTGAGCGGCCAGACCCGGGTCAAGGCACGGCTCGAGCCACTCCCATCAGGCCTGGAGGGCCAGTACGTGACTTCCAATAACCGCGGAAGGCGCCGCGCCATTCGCTCATGAGGAGCCGAGAACTAGGACTACGCGTTACGCATTCGATTAGTGATGCGAACAAATAGATATTGTTATAGACCTTCCCAGAGTTGTGCCCTTAAAAATGTATGTTTGCTCAGCACGCAAATATAATGTATGTGTGTGTGTGTGTGTGGGGGGGGGGGGTATGTTGGTGTGATAAACTGCCTCTTGCGAAGCTGCTAAATTCTATCGCTGGTCACTACATTGGCGCCTCTCTACGCCATCGCTATCATTACAGCGTGTTTCGTCAATTTTCTGTTCCCGTGTGTCAAACACATTTTACATTATATCTCCGATTTTATCACAGACTTGCTACCCCTCCCCCCCCCTCAATCGCACATATTCAGTTGCATGTGGTTTAAACGAGCTGCCTCCAGCATCCAACCCTGAC